TCTGCTCATCGACGTCGCCATTGACTCGTCCATCACTTCAGCCTTAGTTTTAGCTAGAGCTCCTGACACAACTAAATGTAGAGAATGTGCCATGCAACCGAAATGATCCACGCCCAGTTCGTGACAAGCTTTTACGATATTTGCTCCATTGTCTCGAACAACTTTAGAGACACGAGAGATATCTTACCCCCAGGTGTACATGAGGTCACGAAGTTTTTTTCGAATTCGAACTCCAGTATGCTTGCCACAAAAACTAGCAACCTCTAAAGTATAGCTTCTCAATTAAAAAAAATCCGTCATGAAATGAATTGTTAACGCGATGTAGCTGTCCGTTGTTCGTGAGGTCCACATATCCGTCGTGAGAGAGTAAAAATCAACTTCCTCAGCAATTTTTTCCTTTAACAGAGATCGCAGTTGCTGTGCACGGGCTTGCATCCGCTCCGTAATTGTTCTGCGCGAAGGTAATCCGTAGATCCCATGCATAGTCTGAACTAAAGTGATAAAAAATCTTAGTTCTTCGTCTTCGACAATGCTTAAAGGGCGCAAACACTTTGCAATCCATTCAATCAGCGCTCGAGTAGCCATCTCTTCTTCAGCTGGGTTGATCTTCTTGGTTCTCTTTGTTGGAGAGAAGATCACTGCACTGGATTTACGCTTTGAAGCGAGCGCGTTCTTCACACGCTTAACGGCCGCTTCCCGGCCATCACTTCCGAGTTCGTGGGGATGTTCATGGTTCATGTGCTTGCGAATACTTGCACTACTTCCGGATCTATACTTAAACGTCGTTTTGCACTTAAGACAGTAGGCTAATTCTGCATCCGTAGTTTTCCACGCCGTTTGGCCGGGTGGCATCTCTGTGCTGGGTGCTACGAGGCGAACGAATGACCAGTATTCTTGCTTGTGAACACGTGGCATCTTGAACACCGGAAGTGGAGGTGGTGACGATGGTGGAGGTGTGTCTTCTTTCATGGTGGCTGGTTGATCAAGCAGTAGTCCCGGTCAATTTGCTGCAGGTTCTGCTGCACCGATAGTGGGTAGTCAGAGGCTCTGGTCCAAAGTCTCAATCAAACAGATTTCAAATCGTACGTGACGTCTTGAAAACGCTAACTTTACGTCTAGCTTTTTTGTGGATGTCACCAGACCACCAGCCAGCCCGACCAGCCCCTAAGAAGTGGACCAGAGCAGACAAAGAAAAGTACAGAAAAGTAAAGGTAATACAAATTGATCTTAAAATAGAATACTACTACTAAGTGCAACTGCGTCCCGAAAAAAGGGGTCAAAGCATGGCTACTCGTGGGGAGGTGTCGCCGCTCTTGCCGCTACACTCAGCAGCAGTGCCCACCCGACAGCTTCAGCAGCACTACGAAAAGGCTTCGGGTGCTCGATATCATTGGCTATCTCGCATTACCTTTAGCTGGCTCGGGCCTCTGCTTGATCAAGGCGCAGCTCAGCCACTTCAGGCCGAAGATTTATGGGCATTGGAGCCCGAAGACGACACCGCGCGAGTGACCAGTACTCTACGCGAGGCCGTGCAACACGCGGAGGCTAATAGCCAATCGCTGTGGATCCCGATCCGCCGGGCCTTTGGCTTCAATATGTACGTGGCGGGGGCCTGCAAACTGGCTGGCGACTGCTTTGGCTTCGTTGGACCCATTTGCATCAATGCGCTCATCAAGTACGTGGAGGACCCGAAAGTAGCCATGTTCTCCAATTCTCACTATGGCTACATTCTAAGTGGCACATTATTCGCTGCCTCAGTGCTGCAGACTTTGTGTCTGCATCAACACCACCACCTGGTGATACGAGAAGCCATTCGAGTGCGTTCGGCACTCACGATGCTCGTGTACGAGAAGTCGCTGAAACTTTCGTCGCAAACCAAAAGCACTTTGGGTTCGGGTCGAATTCTGAACATGGCTACAATCGACACAAACCGCATCTTGGAGCTGTTCTACGTCATCCACTACTCGTGGGCCGCTCCCGTCCAACTGATGATTGGCATGCTGCTTCTAGTGCATTATCTGGGCGCTGCATCGTTTGCTGGAGTGTTGATTATGGTCATTCTGCTGCCTACAAGTGCTGCTCTGTCGTCCCAAGCCGCCAAAGTCTCGAAAAAGATGCTGGAATGCACCGATAAGCGTCTGAAATTCCTAACCGAGTTGCTCCAGCACATTCGAGTGATTAAATTTTACGCCTGGGAGAGCGAAATGTTCGGACAAGTGGACGAAATCCGCGGTCAAGAACTCGGTTTCCTCAAGCAGATGATCGTGTGGAACGCGTACGGAAGAGTGATCCTACAAGCTGGGCCCGTGCTCGTGTCGTTTGGCACGTTTGCAGCGTATTTGTACGTCCAAAACGAACCTCTGACAGCTGATAAAGCGTTCACTGCGATCACGCTGTTCAGTATTTTTCGCCTGCCTCTAATGGTCCTTCCGCAGGTGTTTTCCCTCATGTTCCAAGCGAATGTATCCATCAAGAGACTCGAGTCCTTCCTGCGTCTCGAAGGCCACCAACGCAGCTCGACGTCCCTATCCGCTTCGTTTATTTCCGATCCTTCGTTTGAGATTCGTCACGCAACGTTCAAATGGTCAGATGAAGCTGCGAAAACCTCGAGTAAAGACGCGTCTCCTGCTCAGCTATCCAATGTTACGGTCTCGATCCCTAAAGGTAAGCTAACCTTGGTGGTCGGCGCTGTTGGAAGCGGGAAATCGACTCTACTAGCGACGTTACTGGGCGAGTTGCAGCCTGAATACGGCGTGGTTCGGATTCCTGCGAGATACGTGTCTTACGCCGCACAAACGCCGTATCTGATCAACGCCAGTGTCCAAGACAACGTTTTATTCGGCGCTCCGTTGGACGCAGCTCGTCTGCACCGCGTAATTAAGAGCTGCGAGCTGGAAAAAGAGCTTTTAAGTCTTCCAAATGGCTTCCAAAGTGAGATCGGGGAGAACGGCGTGACGCTGAGCGGCGGACAGAAGCAACGTGTAGCCATCGCACGCGCAGTGTACTCGAACGACCAGGATCTTTACGTGTTCGACGACTCGCTGTCTGCTTTGGACGCGCAAGTGGCTACACGTGTGTTTAACCAGTGCTTTAACAAGGCAACGAGTGGACTTTTGGCTGGTCGCACGCGGGTTTTGAGCACGCACTCGCTGCAGTTCGCTCATCTGGCAGACTGGATCATCGTCATGGACAACATGAAAGTCGCGGAGATGGGTACATTCGAGGACTTGACGCAGGTGACGCCAAACGGGAAGTTTGCTACGATGCTAAAGTCGTTTCAACGTGCTGAGGAGAAACGTGAAGTCGACGAGGATTCGGGTCATCAATCTGGTAATCTGAACATGATCAAATCTAAATCTAGAGCTAGATCTAGCTCCAGTGTGGACGGTGACGCGGGTGGTACTGGCGTTCTGGTTCAGGACGAGGAGAAGGCAGAGGGGAATCTGTCGTGGAGCGTTTACTCGTCGTACTTTGTGTCTTGCGGCGTCATTTCGACAGTTGGAGCGTTCGCGCTGCTTTTTGGAACGCAGATTTCGTCTGTATCGACAGATTTGTGGCTGACAAACTGGACCAGTTACAGGCCCACGGGGGGTAACTTGACGTTCTATCTGTCGGTATACGCTTATCTCGGTCTAAGTACCATCGCACTGGGGTTTGTTGGAGACCTGTGCTGTCGATACGCTGGACTCAGGTACGCAGTTATCGAAGTTCGTACCGTGCTAACATTTAACTGAGATTTTTTTTTATGTGTAGTGCGTCGAAACAAATTCACCACCGACTCCTCCGTCGCGTTATAAAGGGGACGATGCGCTTCTTTGACACGACACCAGTCGGTCGTATCCTCAATCGATTTTCTAACGACGTGAACACAATCGGTACGTGCAAGCTGCACAAATAACAATCTTTATTTGGTAGCTTAACGTTATGTGTTTGTTACGATTCCAGATCAGAAACTGAACACAGCCATCGTCCAGTTTGTCTCCATGCTTCTCGCGCTTCTCAGCATGCTGGCAATTCAGAGCTCTACGGCTCCTGTGCTGCTGGTTCTGCTTGTCCCAGTCTTCATCTGCTACGTCGCGTACCAGCGATTCTACGGGAAATCCTGTCGAGAGCTGCAACGTCTGGATAATATCTCCAAGAGCCCCGTGTACGCGCATTTCACGCAGACGTTGAATGGTCTGGTGACGATCAGGACTTTTGAGATGGTGGCACAGAGTCAACACACACAAGCGCTCAAGATCAACGAGAACACCAAGGCTTTTCTACTCTTAAACCTGATCAACCGGTGGCTTGGAGTTCGCTTGGAGCTCCTCGGGGCGGTGATCACGTTCGCAGTCGCGTTCTTCGTCAGCCGCGACCACGTGGCGCTCTCCAGTGCCATGGCGGGGCTGCTACTGAGTTATTCGCAGAATATGACGTCGCTACTTAACTGGATCATCCGCAACAATATCGACATGGAGAACATGATGAACAGCGTCGAGCGTATAGATGAATACTGCCGCGTGGATACCGAACCCGTGACGCTGCTTAATCATCATTACGAACGGTATACTTCCCCCAAGTCACGTTCGTTGCAGCTGCGACCACAGTGGCCTGAGCACGGCAAGATCAACTTTGTCAATGTTTGTGTACGGTACGACCCCCTCTCAGCGCCAGTGCTTCACAATATTTCATTTACGGTGAGAGGAGGTGAGAAAGTTGGGATCTGTGGACGTACTGGAGCGGGTAAAAGCTCGCTGCTTCTTGCACTTTTCCGCATGGTATCGTTCGATTCTGGAGTGGGAGGTGGCAGTATTTACATCGATGAAGTGGCCACTACTGCGCTGACGTTGACGGAGCTGCGTTCCCGTATGGCCATCATTCCCCAGGACCCGGTGCTCTTTGCAGCTAGTGTGCGCTTTAATCTGGACCCGACAGGACAAGCGACGGATAATGAACTGTGGAACGCCATCCGGAAATCTCGTCTGGAGAATTTTATCAAAAGTTTACGTGGTGGACTCGACGCCGAAGTTCTAGAAGGTGGCGACAATTTTAGTGTTGGTGAGCGACAACTCATATGTCTGGCACGCGCTATTCTGCGTAATTCCAAGATTTTGTGTCTGGATGAAGCTACTGCGTCAATGGATCACTCCACAGGTGAGAAGAAGACTGTTGATAACTGTTACGGTTGGTTTTTTGCTGACCTCTTCTTTTTCTGAATGAACAATAGTTGAATTCATCCAGACGTCCATTCGTAGGGAATTTGCTGAAGCGACCGTGTTGACGATTGCTCACCGAGTCGAGACGATTCTGGATTATGACAAGATTTTGGTACTGAAGCGAGGCCACATTGCGGAGTTTGGCTCACCTTCCGAGTTGCTCAACGTATTTAATGGCGAGTTCGCTAGCATGGTACAGAACACCGGACAAGAAGTACCGGTACTTCGATGAAGATCAAACCCAAACAGCTCATTTTAATTCATTTTGTCGTTGAGGGCCAAACGACATCAAGGTGATGGATGGCCGTCGTCGCATTCCTATAACTAGCTCTAACCAGGAGGTAATCAAAGATTGACAGCATGTCTGGTCATGCAGTGTCTTCGAGAGGAAAACCGAGACGGATTCTACTAACGTTAGTAGGTAGTTGCTCATGAAGATTTCACATCCTCCTGGAATACGGATACTCGATTGCCACAACGGTGGCGCAGATAAATCCAAGTCTGTACTTCTCCATTATCTCATGGCAAACAATTCTAAAAAACGTTGGATTTCTGTCGACACGTTTTCGAGCACGAGATACCGCCAGATATATAGCCACGTAACTGGGCAACACCTACACCAGGGAAATCGGCACGTCCATTCTGGAGTCGCTAAAGCTGCACGTGTCGAGTGAACGTCAAACACGAGCCATCGTGTGGCGTGCACGTATCCTCCGAGCTGGAAACTGCCTTTCAACCAGCCTGGGGTCTAAAATGACCGCATCGTGGCGATCTGCTTGTGTTGTCTGTTCCCTAGGGGCCAATTGGGACGTATTAGGATACCCAGGCCCAGATCTTCTGTGCGCAGTGAAGAAAGAACCGTATGAACGATCGATCATCAATGAGACCCCACGACACGATGTCGGACTCGATACTGAAACACACGAACGCGAGGAATGAAAAACTTTTGGACCAGAATCTGGTTGAGCTCCATGTTGAAGATGATTGGATCATCGTCGTATTCTAGTGAAAACTCGACGAAGTGATGTTCTTGTTCCTTACCGAATCCTATCGGCTAAGTGTTTCAACAACTTTTAGCGTCTTCAACAACTGTTGCCAAGGTCTATCGGTTTATTATTGCCAGCTCGGCAACAATGGTATTGAAATACCAAGGCAACGCTCTTTCCTATTCAGGACGTAACGATATTATGAAGAGGCTATTGCTCTTCGGAAAAGCATCCTCCTCGCTGTGCTGTTTTATCCTCGTTTAACGATTTTATCTTTGCCAGCAAGATAGAAGTCTTTCACTGGAAGACGGCTCAGGTTGTGGGGACTGTTCGGTGCAGACCCGTCAGCAATCCTAGCCGATAACGCAACCGAGACAGACTCAACGTCGGTGGCGGTGGTGGACAGCAATACTTTGAGGCCGGCAGACAGCCCGCTGGAAAAACAACTGGAGCGTTTCACCCGTTCGAGCGACTTGATTCTACGATGGCTCGGCTGCTGCAACAACATTGGCACCGATTGACGGCGAGAGCGTCCGCAGCGCATCTCAAAGACTTCACGCCGTCACTTCTGAACCACAGTTGCAACAAAAAGTAGAAGCTTGGTCTTTTAGTCAGAGAGTGCACCATCATCGAGTCTGTGAGACAGCAAGCATGGACGAACGCTAATTACCGGTACATGTACCTGGAATAACAACTTACCAGGCCTTGTTAAATACGCGGCTCTGCAAGAAGCTAGAAGAGAGATTTGCACAGTCCTCTTGCAGCACATGAGTCAGATCTTCATTGGCAGAAGCAAATTCGTGATAATCATCACCAGCACGATGGTAATGATTGCGATCAGGAAGCCAACGTCGCTCGCAAGGCGATGACACTACGCCTCACGCCCAGGGGTTAATGGTAACTCCAAAATCGGTGAAGTTAATATTGTGAAAATATCACCTGTAGACCAGTTAATGTAAAAAATATCACCTAATATTTTCTTCTGAGACAATATGATATTATTAAATATCAACTTAATATTAGTTGATACGATATTATATTTCTCAATGATTGCGTAATCGGGCTACATTAACCAATCAGATGTCGTTAACGCTCGACTAGCTGAAGTATTACTAATCAACCGTGAGGGAAGGACAATTGTGAGAGTGACGGCAAGGTTGGCGTCGTGTGTTGGCACTGCTCAGCGCATTAATCTAGCGCCACAGGCAGCAGGTTTATTAGACGCACGATGTCGACGAGGAGATCGGTAGAGAACAAGAACAAATGTCTTGATTTCGCTCTATCAACGTTAAACAGCTGCAAGCGTTTGCAGTTTTCCATCTCGATCGCCTTTGTCTGTGTCACAGTGAAATACTAGAGCAGATACTCGTCAGTCTTAAAGCCTACTGCTTTTCTAGAACCTGATCGAAAAAGTTATTTGGCTCCGCTCGGTTCACAGAGGTAAGCTGGCAAGAAACGTACTTAAGTGGGAAAATATCATAAAATATCATGTAGTATCTAATATTTTTCAGTTTTCCGAGTTAATATAAAAATATTATGTTAACTTTTGCAAAAATGAGCTACTATTAATATTTAATATCGAAAATAGTACTATTACTATCAAAAATATCATCTGATATTTGGTTACCCCCTCACGCCTCCTGTGGCTCGACGACGCTGAAGC